CGCTGTTCTTTTGTCTGCTCGGCCCTCCCCGGGTTTGCTGCTCGTTCTTCCCGGGTTGGCTACTGTCCCTTCCACCTCCGTGGAAGGGCGGTTCCCCCTGCCACATTCCCCACTTCCGCGGGGGAGCGGCACACCGCCGGCCGGCTCTCTGGGGGGCTGCACAGGTGTTCCTTCAGATAGATGTTCCCCTTAGATGTTCCCCTTAGATGTTCCTGGTGCATGTTGTCTCTCTCCTCCTTTATAGTCCTCTTCCGCCAATCCCAACTCGGCTGCCCACACGCCGAGTACGCTGCTCTCCTCCAATCAGGAGCAGGAACAGCTCCTGGAGGTCATCACTCAAGTTGGCAAGAGGCAGCTGCGTAGAAGCTGTTTTCTCCTCTCCCAGCGCCATATTGTGGGAGAGCAGATGCATAGAATAAGTCTTAATTCCAGTAACTTAGTCTAGTCCGAGTTGCTCCCCACAGATACCATCCACTGGTTCACTCCTAAATGGCCAGAATGGCTGGGGATGGGCCAGGTTGAAGCCAGGAGTCAGGAACTCAATCCAGGATTAACAGGGTCTACGTTAGCAGGGATCCAACTACTTGAGCCATCACTGGTGCCCCCAAGGTCTACACTAGCAGGCACCTAGAATCAGGAACGAGAACTGAGACTTGAACTCAGGTAACTCCAATATGGAATACAAGTGTCTTAAATGCCAGGCCAAATGTCTGCACCACCAATATTTCTTTTTTTTTTTTTTTTTTTTTTTTTTTTTTTTGACAGGCAGAGTGGACAGTGAGAGAGAGAGACAGAGAGAAAGGTCTTCCTTTTGCCGTTGGTTCACCCTCCAATGGCCGCCGCGGCCGGCGCGCTGCGGCCGGCGCACCGCGCTGATCCGATGGCAGGAGCCAGGAGCCAGGTGCTTTTCCTGGTCTCCCATGGGGTGCAGGGCCCAAGCACCTGGGCCATCCTCCACTGCACTCCCTAGCCACAGCAGAGGGCTGGCCTGGAAGAGGGGCAACCGGGACAGAATCCGGCGCCCCGACCGGGACTAGAACCCGGTGTGCCGGCGCCGCTAGGCGGAGGATTAGCCTAGTGAGCCACGGCGCCGGCCACCACCAATATTTTAAATTAACTTATGGGGGCCAGAAATTTGATACAGTGGGTCAACTACCATTTGCAATGCCAGTATCCCATATCAGATGCCGGCTGGAGTCCTAGCTGCTCCATTTCCAATCCAGCTTCCTGCTAATGTGCATGGGAAAGAAGTAAATGATGGCCCAAGTACTTGGGTTCCTGCCACCACGTGGGAGACCTGGATGAAGTTCCAGCTTCTGGCTTTGACCTAGCCCAGCTATAGCTGTTGTACACATTTGGGGAGTAAACCAGCACATGGGAAATCTCTGTTTCCTCCTCTCTGTCTCTGTCACTCTGTTGTTTGAATTTTTAAAAAATTGATTTTATGCACTTGTTCTACTCTTTTCCCCATTAGAACTCTTCATGAGCAGAGAACAAATCTGTCTTGTATACCAGTCCTTACAACAATGCCTGGCAAATTAAAGAGGTCCACTGTTTGTTGAATGAATGAATGAACGAATCATCACTGTGGTTCCTCCCTTGCATGATCTTCATTCATGAATGTACTGATTCTGTGAGAGATCTGGAAGTACAAGTTGGTATTTCTGGTAAGAGTAATTGGATACTGGGCAAGTGGTTTAAATGTAAGGAGTTGAATGATAACTACCACAGATCATCAAAAAACAAAGAGATTTAGTCTTTTAACTCTCCTAAGGACATAAAAAAATGAATACAGTGACTTCTCCAAAGAATACAGAATTTATTTGCAAAATTATTATATAAGCCTCTTCCCCTGGAAGAATTTTGCTAAATAGACTGCATCATTAAAAGGAGACCAGATGGAGTTGAGAGTTTTAAGAAAATAGTAATTTCTATAGTAGAATATGTGCAATGTGGTATGTGTATAATTTTAAATGCAAAATTAAGATTTAATAAATGTTATAACAGATTCCAATATTTAACTGCTGAAAGTTATAATATGCATAAAATAAATTCAAATCATACTATAACACTCATTGGAGAACTACCTAAATACAAACACCGATATTTAAAAATCTACAATAGTAAATAAGGCATGAGAATCAAGTCAGTAATTCCAGTTAGTAATTCAAGTTAGTAATTATCTAATGTCTTATGAAATATTATGCTCAAGATTATAACATAATGACAAAACTGACATTTTAAAAACTGAATGCTGAAGATAAAAGGGTATCTACAGAGAATTAAATACCCATGAAAGGAATATTATTAACAAAATTCTATCCTCAAACATAAGGAAACATGTACATCACTTATATTTACAACTTATAATAAACTTGACTGAGCCGGTGAATATTGGCTGAGAAATATCTTGGTAAAGTTGTGTGTAAAATAGGTCTTTTTATAAAGTTAATGCCTAATTCTCTGGCCACACGAGTAAGATGGTCATTGCAACTGGACAGTATCGATGCTACTATGATGGAAAGTTTACCAATTGTAGGGAGGCGACATTAAGGATTTCTTTGTGTAAAATAAAATAGTGCTTTATTTAGAAGTTATTAACATATTTTCTATTAATGAAAAAGTGATCTGCTATTGCTTCTCCTGTCAGGACCCAAAAGCTAAGGTTGCCTCTCCCAAGGCTGACTTCAGGACCACTTATCTTTACACCTGCCTCCTTCATAAACTCTCCTCTTTAGGAATTCTTGAGGGAGGGCATCATTAGGTCACTAGGGTTTCTGTAACACAATATGAATGACAACAGTAGTATCAGTTTACTATTTTAAAGTTACTGTACAAAATAATTTTTTTCAAGATTTATTTATTTTATTTGAAAGGCACAGTCACAGAGAGAGAGACAAAGAGAGAGGGAGAGAGAGAGAGAGAGAGAGAGAGAGAGATTCCATCCAGTGGTTCATTCCCCACAGGGCTGCAACAGCTAGGGCTGGGGCAGGCTGAAGCCAGGAACTAGGAACTCCACCCACGACTCCCATGTAGGTGGCAGCGGCCCAAGCACTTGAACCAAATCCTGCTGCTTTCCCACGTGCATTAGCAGGAAGCTGGATCGGAAATGGAGCTGACAGGACTTGAATCGGCGCCCATATGGGATGTTAGTGTTGCAGACACTGGCTTAACCCACTGTACCACAATGCCAGCCCCTGTTCAAAATCTTTACATGCAATAACTAATCAAAAAACCTTTACTCAACAAGCACTGAGTACAGCATTAAAGTCTGGACTAACAGACACATCCTACTTAGAAATGTCTTTAAGTCTTATGACCTTTGATTGAACTTGTGTGTTATTTTATCTATCAACTCAAGCTGTCCTGAGCCACAGATCCTCATGACAGGCAGTGTAAGAAGTCCATTTGCCAGGAATTCCCTGGTTTACACTACTCACCTGGCTGAGACAGTGTTTAACTTCTGATTATCAGAGGTAGAGGCGTGCTGCAGAATGCTCATACTAACTTGTGCAGAGTTCCCTGTGCACACCTCTTCTCATCTCAGCATTCAGTGGCATCAAACTATAACTTGAAATTGGCCATTGTGGGGCTATTTTATAAAGCAGAAATCAGCAAATCAAAGTCTTTTTTAATAAGAAAGGTGGTTATTAAATATTTACTCACATATCATTGATCTGAGGAAATGTTTATCCCATTAAATCTGTGCAGTCCTATTCAGACTGAAGCAGAACAAGTTTGTCTCCTAATTGGATGAGCACAGTTAACAACTATACCTTTAGATATACATAGCTCTCAGGAGAGGGTCAAATTAGTCTCACAACTGCTCTCCAGGAATACAGGAAACTCCTATGAAATGACTCATTCCTAAAACCAACTTCTTAGTCACTGTAATTCATTCTAAGACACCATTGAATACTATAATCATCACTATTTTATGTACTGTTAAGAAGAAAAAAGTACTGCCAATTAAAATCAATATTCTATCAACTCACATGCATCCTGATACCAGAAATATTGATGTTGAAAAAAGTGCAAATTAGAAACTAATGGGAAAAAAATCATTTCTATCTTGTTTACTATTGCTTTTCCATCTCAGCATCTTAGTTCAACATCTCCTTTACCCTTGATATTCTGCTCCTAGATCTTCCACTCTCCCCAATGAATATCTGTATTCATAAATATCTTTATTTGTATGCTAAAAATACAATGACTTCTGTTGATATAATATGAAAAATAATTCTTTAAAAAGATGTAAAATAATAATAAAAGAACAGGGTAAAGCACAATAATTTGGTAAGGGAAGAGAAAGGAACACACAAAAAAGCACAAAGTAGAGGCTTCTCAGAGAAGCAGAAACAGACTGGAGAGAGAAGGGGGAAAAAAGGTTACAGGCAAAATGGTCTGAGCAGCAAATATTATTACAAAGTTCATTTTAATTTTGTGGTATGGAATGGTCTGTTACCATGATAAACATTCATATCTTCTCCAAAACTGTTCTGTTTCAAGACAGGAATCTGGCCTAATATGACTAAAAAGGATTTTTTTTTCTTTTTTTTTTTAAACTTTTTTTTAATGAATATAAATTTCCAAAGTACCGAATATGGATTACAATGGCTTCCCCCCCATAACGTCCCTCCCACCCGCAACCCTCCCCTTTCCTACTCCCTTTCCCCTTCCATTCACATCAAGATTCATTTTCGTTTCTCTTTATATACAGAAGATCAGTTTAGCATACATTAAGTAAAGATTTCAACAGTTTGCTCCCACACAGAAATATAAAGTGAAAAATACTGTTTGAGTACTAGTTATAGCATTAAATCTCAATGTACAGCACACTAAGGACAAAGATCCTAGCACTTCAGACTCTACTCTCAACAGCATTCCCAACTGAAATATACTGTCTGTCTTTGCAAAAAATCACCTATATTCAACAATTCTTTTGAGATATCTCAACTTTTGTGAACAGGATTAAAGGACTTGGAAATTATTCTACTTACTCTCCATCTACTTCAGGTCTTCTACATACACAGTGAAACTTGCCACCAAAATCTATATAAAGATCATCTTCTACAATATGAAATATTCGTCCAATGACCAATTTATCCTTGGCAGGCCCCATCTGGGTAAGAGGAGAATGTCTCAGCAGGGATGCAAAGGATTCCACATTTCCCGTAGACTCCTAAATATGAAAAGAGATATTTATATTAATATAAATTCAAAAAAATATATGGTAAGTATAATAAAGCCTTAAAGGAGAAATTTTAGAAAGTTAATTTTATGTATCTTTGCATTTTGTAGTAATAAAAAATTTAAGTGCAATTCTGCTTTTTCAAAAGTGAGTTATGCTCTTAAACTTCCTCTTTCTCCCTTTCCTTCCCAAAGATTTACAGAAAAACAGGTACTCATGTATGTACTTGGTGGGGGACGGCAGGGATGTGCTGGTCCAGAGAGGGGTCTCAAGACCCCAAACAGGGTAAAGAACGTCAGAGTGTATAAATGGCCTTCCAGGATAGGCAGCAGGTGGGGATGAGGGTAGGTGTGTCAGAACCTCATCATGTGAGGAAGGCATCCAAAAAGGTGACTGACTTTATTCCTAGCACTGACCATCTGCAAAACATGCCTTCTAATTCAGGTTTAGGTAGAGCAACTATTAAAAAAAAAAAAAAAAAAAAAACAAAAAAAAACACCACAAATTCAGTATATACAAAGGGGTCTTCAAAAAGCTCATGGAAAATGTGTATTATGGGAAAATTATGGATGGATTTCAAAATTTGTTGCATCAAAATAAATGTTTTAATTACATTTTCCATGAACTTTTTGAAATCCTTGCATATGAGATAAAACGGGGGCCCTCACTACAATCACCAGTCTAAACATGGGTTCTTAAACATAAAACAATTTTTTTAAAAGATTCATTTATTTATTTGAAAGACAGAGTTACACAGAGAGAGAGAGAGAGAGAGAGGTCTTCCATCCACTAGTTCACTCCCCAATTGGCTGCAATGGCCGGAGTTGTGCCGGAGTTGTGCTGATCTGAAGCCAGGAGGCAGGAGCCAGGAGCTTCTTCTGGGTCTCCCACGTGGGTGCAGGGGCCTAAGGACTTGGGCCATCTTCTACTGCTTTCCCAGGACACAGCAGCGAACTGGATCAGAAGAGGAGCAGCTGGGACTAGAATCAGCGCCCATATGGGATGCCAGTACTTCAGGCCAGGGCATTAACTCGCTGTGCCACACTGCCGGCCCCCAAAACAATTTTTTTAATATTTGAGAGACAGAGAGGAAGAGACACATAGACCAGAACTCCCGTGCCCTTGTTCTCTCCCCAAATGCCTGTGATGGCTGGAGAATTAGGCAAAAGATAAAGGGAGGAATGAGAACAGGAAGCATAGGGGCCTAAGCCCCACTCAGGAACTCAATCAAGTCTCCTACATGGGTGGCAGGAACCAAACTCCTTGAATCATCACTGCTGCCTCTCAGGGTCCACATTAGAAGGAACATTGAATCAAGACCTAGAATAGGGTATCAAGCCCAGGCACTCTGATGTCGGATATGGGCATCCCAATTGGTGGTTTAACCATTAAGCCAAATACTCACCCCTATAACGCTTTTAAATGACTTGTACTTGTTCTTTTCCTTAAAATCAAATTACAAAGAAAAACTAGCTTCTTTAATTGTATCATGTTGCTCACTTTCTAGGACTCTTTCTACACAGTAAATTCACTTGAGGTATCCCTGAACATGTACTCTGATTACTCTTTTTTCAGATTCTTTGAAAAATTTTTACAAAAATATACTTTTTCAGAGATCCATGAGGACAGATATATGTCTTTTATTCCTCTTTAATTTACATATGGTGTAGTATGTATGTGCTTTCAAATAAGCTAAGAGAAGTACTAGGTTTTTATTTGTGAAAGCTAAACACAGAAGAATATTAAATTTGACCTGATTACTTATTTATACCCTGTATTTACAATGAGTTTTACATTTGTTATTCGAGAGAATTATTAAGAGTTTGACAGCATACTTACTTACAAAACTGTATTTATGATTTAATTTTAAGGCATGTACTACTCCAAGAATTACAAATGCAAATGCCAGGCCAAGTAAGGACTTGGCAAGCAGAATATGTGCCCCTTCTAAAAGGTACAGCCACTACTCAGCTCTAGCTCCAATTCAAGTCCAGTTTTTGCCACATGTTTTGATTTTCCAGTAAGTCAGAAATCAACATTTGAAGGCATAATTTCCAATATTTAAAGACTTAGATGTTGAAAAGAAAAAAAAAAAAATGATGTTCTCCAAGACAGGTATTTGGCACAGCAGGTTAAATCATTCACTGCCTGGGATAGCTATGACCCATACTGAAGTGTCTGGTTCAAGTCCTGGTCGCTGTGCTGTGATCCAGTTTCCCCCTAATGCACACTCTTGGGAGGCAGCAGATAACGTTTCAAGTACTTGAATCCCTGCCATCCATGTGGGAGACCTGGACTGAATTCTGAGCTTCTGGCTTCAGCCCGGCCTAGTCCTGGTTGTTATAGGCATTTGGGGAGTAGATGGTAGATCTTTCTACATCAGTCCCTCTGCCTTTCAAACAAACAAAAGTGAAAATAAGGGATCGGCATTGTGGCAAACCAGATAGAGCATATGGGTGCCAGTTGGAGATCTGGCTGCTCCACTTCTGATCCAGCTCCCTACTGACACGCCTAGGAAAGCAAGGAAAGATCGCCCAAGAGCTTGGGCCCCTGCACCTATGTGGGAGATTCAGAGGAAGCTTCTGACTCCTGTTTTCAGCATGGCCCAGTCCCAGCCATTGCAACCATTTGGGGAGTGAACCAGCATATGGAAGACTGATATATCCATTCATTCATTCATTCATTCATTCTCTCTCTCTCTCCTTTCCTCCCTCCTTCCCTCCCTCCCCCGTGTGTGTGTATGTGTGTGTGTGTGTCTTCCTCTGTATAACTGACTTTCAAATAAATAAATAAATCTTTAAAAAAATAGTGAAAATAAATAAAAAATTTAAATATGTACTCTATTTTACAAATCAAGCAAAAGATATCTGGTGTTGAGTTTGGTCCATGAACCTCAAGTTGTGTTTTTTTTTGTTTGTTTGTTTGTTTGTTTTACCTCTGTCTCAGGAAAAAAAGAATGTCAAGAGATTTGGCTGACAGCAAGTCCGTAAGGTGCTAGATGAAAGGTATGGTGATGAATTTATTTCAGTGAATTGAAGCACATTAGGAGGGAGTCCTGAGTACAAAAGCAATCCATCTAAACCAAAGAAAAGTCAGCACATCTAGATGCCAACTTGAACTGAAAAAGTAGCCAGGAAAGTAAGCCATAAGCCACAATACTAGTTTCATAAATTCACACTATAAGAGTAAAGGATCATAAACAAGCACCTTGAAAAAAACAGTAAAATACATCCTACATGTTCAGCACAGAAACAGCCAGGAATTGCCCAACAGAAGTAATACAGGCCGGTGCCACAGCTCAATAGGCTAATCCTCCACCTGCGGTGCTAGCACACCAGGTTCTAGTCCCGGTCGGGGCACCGGATTCTGTCCCGGTTGCCCCTCTTCCAGGCCAGCTCTCTGCTATGGCCCGGGAGTGCAGTGGAGGATGGCCCAAGTCCTTGGGCCCTGCACCCGCATGGGAGACCAGGAGAAGCACCTAAGCACCCGGCTCCTGGCTTCGGATCAGCGCAGTGCGTCAGCTGCAGCACACCAGCCACAGTGGCCACTGGAGGGTGAACCAACAGCAAAGGAAGACCTTTCTCTCTGTCTCTCTCTCACTATCCACTCTGCCAGTCAAAAAAAAAAAAAAAAAAAGTAATACAAAGAGAGTAATACAAGAGCCATCAGTGACAACAGCAGCTCCTCTGCTGACAGCAACTAAACCACCCACAGCTCTGTAACCAGAGCAGCTGAGAAAGCAGTGCTCAGGAAAAAGCAAGTGAAGTATCATCTTGAGAGTCTCCTACTCCTTGCAACCAGGGAGGGTCCTAATCACTTTCCCCAATGACCTGCTTTCCTGCTACCCACTTTAATACTTGATATCTAACACACTTCCACTCCCCCCATCTCTTTTGGCCTCTCAACTGAAGCCACAGTCAATTGTTCAATTTTAGACAATAGATTAATCCAGTAGTAGATTCAGAAGTTAAAGCATTTATTGGGGATTATTTAGCCATCACTAAAGTCTGTTCCTAAAATGAGACCATTTCCTTCTCAACTGTAAAGCGATGCTAAACCTAAGACTGGTGGTATTTCCCCAATTGGTTTTAGAAAAGTACTAAGCTTTCTCAACTATTTAAAAAGATTCTTGTGGAATTTTTAGTAAATCTGTTATGAAATATTAAGTAAAATTATGAGCAATTTTTTTAAAGATTTATTTATTTATTTGAAAGTCAGAGTTACACAGAGAGAGAAGGAGAGGCAGATAGAGAGGTCTTCCATCCACTGGTTCACTCCCCAGAAGGCCGCAACAGCCAGAGCTGCGCCAATCCAAAACCAGAAGCCAGGAGCTTCTTCCAGGTCCCCACTGTGGATGCAGGGGCCCAAGGACTTGGGCCATCTTCTACTGCTTTCCCAGGCTACAGCAGAGAGCTAGATTGGAAGTGAAGCAGCCGAGACTCGAACCAGCGCCCACATGGGATGGCAGCACTGCAGGCGGTGTCCTTACCCACTACACCACAGCACCAGCCCCATGAACAATTATTTTCAACATCAAGTAGGATACAACGCTACTTGCTTTTACTTAATTATATTTTGCAATGGAATCTAATGTGTTTTCAGTGAGTGAAATGGTTTTACCACAAGCATAGAATCTTGGATTAACATCTGAATTTGATCTTAAATTGAATACTCATTATTGTTCACTACTTTTTAGAAACTATAACAAGCAATTAGACAGAACCCTCCAAAAATCATAGTCTAAAACCATCTTTGAATTTCTAGGACATAATACAAGGTGTACTCATTTATTTGTCACATGACTTCTAAAAATAATTTATGTAGCAACTTCTACAATGCACACTGACAACAGGGAATCCTGGCTATAAAGTATCTAAACCAACACTGTTAGCTGCTCTCCATAGGGATGCAGACTGTAGAGACCGCAGGTACCTTGTCAACTGCTGGGCTTGTGTCATGGCTCAGTGCCTCAACCTAGCTATGGAAAATGT